GCGCTGTCCTGGTCCACGTTTTTAACGTGGTTCACGTGGTTAACGTGGGATCTCGCAAGTTCAAGAGTATGTGTGAGATACTTCGTATAGAGATGTATGCTTACTTGTGAAAGCGAAGTGTTTTATTATAGTCCACGGTATGAGAGCGTATTTAGCGGATAGGCAACTGTGTATGTTGTCCTGATAACTAACAACTAGTTTTTAACGTAGATCCCGATGACGGCAACCCCGACGATGCCTGTGAACCCTCAGGTGCTCCTGCTGCTCCCGTTAACGCTTCGAGTGCGTGGTACGATGCAGGGTCTCGCTGGCGCTGGTGAGATGCGACTGCTCGCTGTGCGAGTGCGGCACGCCCTGTGCTGTTGTTTTGACCACATGAGCTTGCTTCAAGACAGCTAATTATGGTGTGAGCTGTTGTTTTAGTAGCCACGTGCACTAGCCCTATGCCTGCCGCAGCGGCGAGCAGTGAGCGATGTGTTTTCGTCTGCTATGTGAGCAATCACAACGGTGTGCTGATGAATACTGGTGAGTCGTACCCATTTTATTACGATTCTGGTGCCGAATGAGAGAGCCTCATCAAAGATTGTGTTGCGCAAAAATTTAGTGGCAAAAGTGAAAATAATATTGTTAATTAAACCGAAATCGGCCATGTTAGTGTGCAAAGTATCCTTTCACCCCCATGATCATATAAGGAAGATCCCCGATCACCAAGTTCCTCTAGAGTTAGATGTCATAGTTGATGACAGTGGTAGTGAGACCAAATTTGATTAAGAATGCTTGTATACTCATACTCAAAACTTTAGACAGCACTTCATGAGTAACATGTGGCGATGGGTCTGTAGGAAATCGTTGGTGCGATTTCTGTCTGTGTTGGTGCATATTTGGCGGCATGTATGTAGGGAATCGTTGGTGCGATTCTAGCATATGTGGCGGCAGATGTGTTGTAGCATATTTGGTGGTGGATATGTGGAGAATCGTTGGTGCGTTTCTGGCATATGTGACGTCAGATATGTAAAGAATCGTTGGTGCGATTCTGGCCTGTGTTGGTGCACAGAGCCCCTAGTGTATTGTAGCATATGTGACGGCAGATATGTCGAGAATCGTTGGTGGGATTCTGGCATATGTGACGGCGGATATGTAAAGAATTGTTGGTGCGATTCTGGTCTGTGTTGGTGCACAGATTTCAATGAAAGTTCCACGAGTTGAACATGCATTGCTTATGAATTGTAAAGAGTAACAAAATTGATAAAATTACTGTGTTGGAACTTGTTGATCGGACCTTCCACGATAAATCATGTTGTGCAGGAAGCACTGTGTAAGAAGCCTTAAGGACAAGGCATTGTCAATTATGACGGTTGACTATTGTACTTAGACTTAGGAGAAGTAAAGTACAATTTGGAATCGACCTTGTTTCTATTGGCAGAATAGCCGAGCTAGATTAATCTCTGAGCATATTTTATCTCCAGGCACTGCAACCGAGGACGGATGCTAGTCAGGAATGGCCGTGTCGTGAACTGATGGCGCCATAGTGCAACAAGAAGCGCCATCTAACAATTAGTTTTCCGAACTAATAATATGTACCCACTCATGTCAGGATGGATGAGCGGACGAATTGTTGTTTGTTACAGGAATGCATAAAGATACACGCCCGAGGACGGTCGTACATCAGGATGGACGTGTCGGAGCGTCTATAAAATACCCGGTTGGATCGAGGTAGAATGGAGGGTATATCGAGAAACCCCCTCTTGTGTCTGTACTATAAAGTTCACTGTAGGTGCCGTGCGCGGGAGATTCCGCCTAAGTCATTCAACGAGTGTGGTCATTCTACTAGTGCTAAGATAGTGTCGTGGTTTTGTTCGTTGTTGTAATTCTTCTAGTGCAGGCAAGGAGGATTGGTGTTGCTGAGAGGCCGCCCTGTGTTACATTGAGATAAGTAGTGTTGCTGTCGGTTTACATATTTTGGTGTTATCATGTAATTACGTACCTCACGTTACACTGGTGTGTAATTGTGGCGGAGACGTGTTACGGTGTAGTCGAACTGTAATTTCACTATACTGAATGTATAGTGCGTTACGTTGTCTTATTACTGATAATGATTATTTGCGTAAGCACGAGAGCAAGTTGAACATCCGCTCTCACACTTTTTATTTTTAACAGTTAACGCTATCCTGATGTATTTCCGAGATCAAAATTGGGATCTCCTGTTGAATTCTCCGACATCAGAACTGGGATCTCTTGTTGTCATTTCCGATATATATATATATATATATCAAAGAAAATAAACTTACATAGAAGACAGAGAAATAATTTAAGCAATATTTATTTACATAATGAAAAAACTAAGACTTTATTTATCATACTGTCCTACTGCCCGCAGTATAGTGCCGCTGTCTAAGTTTCCTCGCTGAATGGCTATACTTAGCCTTTGAGCGAGGGAACGCGAATATTTCATCTACTCGTAGAATAATTTGTCGCTAACGGTACTATAATATTATATGCGCTCTTACTCGTATGTAGCGGCGGACGGCGAGCCGACGGTAAACCAATTTCTAGGCCTTAATTTAGTTTGCGATGCAATAACGCCCTTGTGTTTAATGAACCGCGCTGGATGCACGCTATAATAGGCTCCTGTAATTTATGCTTCCTGTGTATATAATATGTTGTCTATGTCTTATATCTCTCCTTATATAACTGAATACTAATATTATGCATATGGAGAACGAAATTTTAAATTTCGGTCATATGAAGAATAAACGACTGAATTCATAAAGATATTCCACGAGTTTTTGTCTTTTTAGTGCATCACGTAGCTACCTCAACAGGTTGAGTTACTCAAACTATACAGTGAAAAGCTACCGCATATCAAAATATTTCCGTCATCTACGGATTTCAAACAGAAGGAGTTACTCAATTCGACTGTATGTTTCTTTTTATGTGTGTTACCTCATAACTTCTTTCTGGATGAACCGATTTGGATAATTCTTTTTTTATTTGAAAGCTGGTCCTTCACTAGTGGTCCCTTATAAATTTGATCAAGGTGTGACCAATAGTTTTTGAGTTATTCTTAATAATTTATATTGAAATCGGTTTTACAAATTTTTTAATTTTTAATTACTTTGTTATGTACGTATAATTAACCTAGGTACTATGACTCCATTTCTGTCTATTAGGGTTCCGTAGCCAAATGGCAAAAAACGGAACCCTTATGGATTCGTCATGTCTGTATGTCACAGCCACTTTTTTCCGAAACTACAGGAACTATGATCTTGAAAAAAAACCAATAAATTTTGGGGGTTCCTTATACTTAGAACTGAAACTCAAAAAATTTTCTTTTCATCAAACCCATACGTGTGGGGTATATATGGATAGATCTTTAAAAATAATATTGAGGTTTCTAATATCATTTTTTTTAACTGAATAGTTTGCGAGAGAGACACTTCGAAAGTGGTAAAATGTTCCCCCCCCCCCCCTTTGTAACTTCTAAAATAAGAGAATGATAAACTAAAAAAATATATGATGTACACTACCATGTAAACTTCCACCGAAATTTGGTTTGAACGAGATCTAGTTAGTAGTTTTTTTTACTACCTCATAAATCGTAAACCGCAATTTACCTTTCATTCAATCAACTCAAATATAAAAATAAAAAAAAAACATTTAATTTCATGAACACAAACCTTATGCACAAACCGTGATTCATTATTTTCTAATAATAAATCTCTTCTAATTATAATTCGCGCAATCGGTAGCGGGTGCGGAGCGCGCGAGGGCTGGTTGGCGCGGAGATAATTTTTCGATACATTTGCGAATGCTAAATATTGTACGTTTACGATTTGGTACTGTTAACGTTGGATAAAATTAATTTCAATTACTTACTTAGAAATTATCTTGTTGCTACGGAACCCTTCATGGGAGAGTCCGACTCGCACTTGGCTGCTATTTAATATTATACTAGCTGTTACCCGTGGCTTCGCCCGCATGATCACTGGGAAATGAACTATCCATTGCTTTTTGAATTGAAAGAAAACTGAGTTCTAAAGATTTGTCAGAGATGCAGCCATTAAAAGGAAACTGAGCAAAATTGATTCGTCAGCCTATTTAAATGTTTTGAAACGCAGCGTATAGGAAAGCATGAAAATAGCCTGTGTTTATCCCAAATGAAAATGGGATATTTTAATAATTAAAGGAAACTGAGCATAATTATCCGTCAGGGATGCAGACTTTTGAAAAGAAACTAAGCTACTCGTAAATTGATTCGTCAGAGATGCAGTTTTCTGAATTGAAAGGAAACTGAGCCAAATAAAAGATCCGTCAGAGATGCAGCCTTTTGAGTTGAAAGGAAACTGAGCTTAATAGGTCCGTCAGAGGTGCAGCATTTGAAATTGAAAAGAAACTGAGCTAATTAGGAAATTTTGAATTGAAAGGGAAGATTTGTGGGAATTCTGATTAATTGATTGTGGGAATTTTGGAAAAAAAACTAACTGAACACTATTTTAAGACGCTACTGTACACAATGTTATATGTTTTTCCATTCGGGGAAAGAATGTAGAGATTCTGGGCATTTGACACAGGTACGCACGGTTTTTCTAAGTTGACCCCCGCTACCTGTAACGTTTGCCCTTGCGCTTTATTAATTGTCATTGCAAAACTGAGCTTAATAGGGAATTGCAATCTTTTGAATTGAAAAGGAAGATCTGAGGGAATTATAGGGATCCGTGGTATAATAACATTTTCATCTTTTCCTACGCCTGTCAAAATTGTAGCACCGATTATATTCCGTCCAAGATGTGTCACACGCAGCCTTGTCCCGTTACATAACCGAGGAGCATCTAAGTTTCGCATTAGCATGACTGGGACGCCTAATTTCAATTGAAGCTTATGTGAGGGCACACCTGACAACTCTAGAGAATTTAGAAACTCTACGGGATATGAAGTGCTCTGTTCTGTGTCCATAACTGTGTCTACTGACAAATACTCTGTTATTTTTCCTGCTACTTCGTTTATATATCTGAATTTATTTTGTTAACGCTCTCATTTTTTGATGCAAGAATCGCCCTTTCACATAACCGTTTGTCTTCATGCATGTTGTTCGTTAAATCTGAATAAACGCTCGCAATTAATTCGGAATGACTCTGTACTAAATTACAAAAATCTCTCGTCAATTTAACGCAGCCCTCAGCATCCGTTTCCAACCGTCCATCGCCAATTTTTAATAGTGTGTTAGCATAGTTTCCAGGATTGATATCATTATACAAATGCACTCTCATATTCGTAGTTAAACTGAATTTTATCACCTTGTTCAATAAAATAGACGACTTGAGGCATGCTTTAATTTCATCTGCAGTTGTGCCCTTTTGAATGACAGGTAAAGTTTGGCGAAAGTCACCAGACAGTAAAACCACTATTCCTCCCATTACATCGGTATTGCTGCGCAAATCCTGGAGCGTTCGATTTAGTGCTTCTACAGCTTTTTTATGCGACATTGTACTTTCGTTCCACAATAAAAGTTTGCATTGTCGTAGCATTATACCTCGTGCACTATTTTTGCTAAAGTTGCAGATCGGCGATTCTTCCAGGGCTAGATTTAGAGTGATTTTTAAAACAGAATGTGCAGTGCGGCCCCCGCTTAGCAGCGTGGCGGCTATACCGGAAGAAGCTACGGCCACAGCAATGTTTTTATCTTTCCGTACTTGCGCTAATAATAAATTTAACAAAAATGTCTTCCCAGTTCCTCCAGGGGCATCTAAAAAGAAAAGTGCACCATTTCCAGATTTAATTTGTCCTAATACTTTGTCAAAAACCCGTTTTTGTTTGGGAAGCAAGCGGAGTAAAAATTCGGCTACTTGCTGCTGCAAAGCTGGTATATCGTAGTTTGTTTCACGCATAATTTCATCACTTAGTCCATTTTCGGTTGTTCGCTGAGGGCTTATCATTCCAAAGTCGCTTAATTTTTTGCCTACCATTGCCATTACTTTATCTTCAATTTTTCCAAGTGCTTCATTATAAATGTGTTCATTGTATTTCATGTTCGCATGTGTCTGCTGTAACCTTCGCAAAATATCTTCCGCCATGTACTCTTTATATTTGTCCCACAATTCATGTGCATTAGATAGCCCGCAAGATGATATGAGAGTTGCCTAAAGATCCCTAATTTTGGCTGGTGACTGCCACTGCACAGCTTCCTCCATGGTTTCATCCCAGTGATTATCGTTTTCTAATAGATGCAGAGCTTCACATGCTTCTCTATAAGTTGCGCATTCCTGACCGTTGACAGTTTTAAGGTCTTTATATCATGTAGGACCCCGAACATGGTGCAGCAGCAATCGTAAACAGAAACATTCAAAATTAGTTACATGGACGGTATACCCACGACCGGGCCAATTTGCAACAGGCGCGCCTTGAATACGGCGATTCCACTACTTCCTAGATGTGTTCCAAGTATAATAGCGGGGGACTTCAGAATATAACAACGTTTTTGCAAAGGGGTCGGTTTGACAAATTTGAAAGAAGGCTGTTAGTGTAATTTTTGGCGGTGATGCAATTCTTTCTTGAAAATTTCTTTCGGTGAAATATACACGCTCTCCAATTTCTAAGTGCACAGTAAGGTGAGTAACTTTTGGGTGCCTTTCGTGTAAAGGGAAGCCAAGGAGACGCCACGCTGCCTCGTTGCTGCTGACATAACGCCCTGCTTGAAAGGTCTGTATTTCATTTCTGTACTTACTTTCACTCCTGAGATTAAATATTGCTTGGTCACTTCCTTTATTTATGTACTTACAGATATACTTGATTACGCGGACAGAGCTAAGTGCTTTTACATTAATGTGGGCATTAAACATTTTACATAGAATGGACGAATACGGGACAATCCAGCTGTTAACTAAGGTTTCGAACTCTCCAGAGCGAGATTTGATTGTAACTTTCCTGCCACCATCTTCGGGAGCTCTGCGTCTTTATAAAGGGTAGCCATTGTCATTGTGCACTGTTTCTTTTAATAGCTGTTTAGGGAATTTCTTTCTTTCCTTCTTTCATACATGGCGATATTGAATTTCGTGCTCTACATAGATCGTGAATCATATTTCGGACGATGGTATCATACAATTCTTTATCATGTTCAGGATTCGGAATCTCGGTGCTTATTATGTCGTCTATTTAGCTGGGCCGCAACTTCTCTTTAAGCCATATTAGAATGTGGGCATGCGGTAATCCTCTTTTATGCCATTCAATTGAATACATGAAGCACTGCACCTCTCCGAAAATTTTCCCCTTGTTAATTACATACATTATTTTTTGTACTTTTAATCTAAATACTCTAGCAACTAGACGAGACGTTCACTTTCTACCTTCACATACATGTCTACTAAAAATTGATGAAATAATTGTCTACACCGGGCTAAGAGGTTAAAATCATTTTCTCGCAACATCATATGATACGCATAAAAATCCATACATGATACTTTTTTGTTCGGAGTAGGCTCCTTTGTGACCGGTTTAATGAGTGGAATTTGAAAATAATAACCCTCTTGTCCTTTGCAATAAATCAATGGGTATTGCAGAGCGTCATAAAACTTGTGTGTATCGGATACCCGTTGCAATGTATCATCACGTGCTTGCAAGACAATGTCTCGTGAAGAAAATTGATCACCACTAAATATGGCTGCTATTTCGTTTATCAAAGGTGCATTGTAGCGCTTTTCATGCTCTCCTCAAGGGGTCCGATCTGCGTGAATGACGACTTTATAATCCTCTTCAGGTAAGTTTTCTAAAGCAGTTTTAAATATTTTGACTAAAATGTTACGTTCATGCAAGAATCTTTGAATTTTGAACACTGTGTCTCTCTCAACTCCCTGGATAATTGGCAGCGACGGTCTACCTCAATTTCTTCGTCACCCATAAAGTATACTTGCAAAAATATATCCTGTTCGTTTTCAGCTGGAAAAATTGAACCTATTCTATGATAAATTTGCCCTTGCACCGTAAATGTGGGCGAAAACATCGGCATTATTATTTCCCGGTCAACTCCGAAGGACGTCATTTGAAAGCATGAGTTATATTTCCGGAACCTGGTTATAAAGCGCCGTGACTCATTAGCATCATATAAAAAGAGAGTTTTCAAAGGTTCTTCTGGTTCTCCAAGTAACGGAAGAGACACTTTGCCATTGGAACAGCACATGCCTGCGGTCTCATCTTTCCATTTTAAAGCGCTGCAAAATCGACACGCCTTGTCCATCAGTCCGATAACAACTAACCTGTAATTTTTATAATCAATCAACGGATCATAATTGAATGCTGCGTCATTAAAAACCGACCAATTGTTTCTTTGAAAATTTTGTTGACGTTCAGCTTGGAGCTGTGCATTTGCATCTCTTCGCGCCTGTGTCTGTTCTGGTGTTTCAGATGCCCTTATAGTAGATTGACGTTCAGCTTGCTCAGTGAGTCTGTGTTGAGTTTCATCAGGTGTTTCCGCGGCTCATAAGGCGGCCTGACGTTCCGCTTGACTTTGAGCAGGTGTTTCAGTAGCTCTTAAAGTAGACTGATGCCTTTGCTGACTTTGAGCAGGTGTTTCAGTAGCTCTTAAAGTAGCTTGACACTCTGCCTGTTCAAGACGCCTTTCCTGACTTTGAGAAGGTGTTTCGGAAGCTCTTAAAGCAGCCTGACGCTCTGTCTGTTCAAGACGCCTTTTCTGACATTGATCAGGTGTTTCAGTAGCTCTTAAAGTAGCTTGACGCCTTTGCTGACTTTGAGCAGGTGTTTCAGTAGCTCTTAAAGTAGCTTGACGCTCTGCCTGTTCATGACGCCTTTCCTGACTTTGAGAAGGTGTTTCGGAAGCTCTTAAAGCAGCCTGATGCTCTATCTGTTCAAGACGCCTTTGCTGATGTTGAGAAGGTGTCTCAGATGCTCTAAAAGCAGCCTGACGCTCTGCTTGTTCTTGCCTTCTCAGTTCTTCTAAAGATTCTAGCGATCGAGCTTATCTTTTCGCTTGTCTTTGAGAAGATACTCTTGAAAGGCTGAACTTACGTTTGCATGATGAAGTAAAAAAACCTGTTTATAAAAAACGTTAAATTACCTAAAAGGAATTAAATTTCCTTTTAAATATTTTTTTAAAAGCAAATCCAAAATATGTAAAAGGAATAAATATTCCTTTTAAATATTTTTTAAAATCAAAACAACAAAACCAATTCAAGACACAACACGAATCCGAAAACGATAGCCAAAAAAATCGAATCAACTTAAACATACAACATAAATAAACAAAATCCAAAATCAAAGCCAGAGTCTAAATATGTATAAAGGAAAGGAATACCAACCAAATCAAACCGATCCAAGAAAATACACAAATCCGAAAATGAAAGCCAATATAAATCCATTCAACCTTAACCAAATCACAAAGCAAATAACAAACAACCGAAATCGAAAGCAGGTAGTCGAATAAGCTAAGAAATAGATACAATTTAAGCGTATAGGTATGCACTATAAGTTGACGCGCGGCTCAACGGCGGGAGTTAAGTATATGTCAGGAAACATTTCGTTACCGCGTTTTAAAAACCTAGTAACGAGATCTAGCGGAATCAATTTAAACTATGTATGCGTTAGTTAATAAGAACTCTCAAAAATATTTTTCTTATAATTTTGCACAATTTTTCTTATTGTAATACCGATTCATTCATAACCACATATAAGAACTGTATTCATTTCCGTTCAATAAATATTACTAAGGCTTATTAATAAGGCTTACTAAGAACTGTTTCTACCACAGTTAAGTAATAGTTAAGGGTGAAAGCGTGACAGGTGGTGATAGTATTTGTGATACATATTATAATCACGCCTGTAACCCTTGCGGAGTAGGCAGAGCATCAACGGATTACTTAATATCGTCTGCGAGGTTATCGCCTATTCTGTGAATTACAATGCACCAAAACGTTTGAAGAAAATCAGCTGGTGAATTTTACGTTTTTTATCGCTCTCTTCCCGGTCCTGCGTGGAAAAATACAGATCCATACATTTTTTATCTTAATTTTGGTAAAAAGACATAATAATCCAGATATTTTGACCTTCTGTGTTCGTCCATCGTACCGTCGTCCGTCTTGTAGAATCACGGTGCCGCCACCTAGCTGAATTTAATTTTGCAACTTATTCGATTTTCCTACGGGAATGATAAGTTTTTCCGCTGAAAAATGTAGCCTATGTCACTCTACAGCCACCGAACTATCCCCATACCAAAATTCATGCCATGCCGACGCTCTGTTGCGACGTGAAAGAAGGACAAACTTTTGCAACATATTCTATTTTCCCACGGGAATGAGATACTTTTTCGCGGAAAAAGTAACCTATGTCACTCTATAGCCACCGAACTATCCCCATACAAAAAATCATGCCATGCCGACGCTCTGTTGCGACGTGAAAGAAGGACAAACACACACACTTTCGCATTTATAATATTAGTATGGATTTCTGTCAGATGGATTCCTGTCTTGGTGGGTAAACC